AGTGAAAGTGACCTCCCTCAAAATACCTCCTGTGCGGTACTCACCCTTCTTGCTGTGGTTGATGAAGGGAGAGGACAGAGCGCCTATGAGATGAGAAGAGAAGTGAGGAGAGTGACGTAGCCCCTGTAACGGAGGCTGCCGTTGACCTTCTGATGGAAGGAAAGTCAGAGGGAAGATCGTCTGCTTCCCGACCACAGCTGACCGAAGAAAGTGAAAGTGCAGATCTGTGGGGGACTCCTGTACTTCCGGGGCGTGAGAAACACTTGCCCCAGTGAGTGACTGAGTGAGGCGTGGAGGAGGAGAGAGAATCAAGGCACTGAGAGGTCGGAGTTTTGGAAAGACAGTTCTGCACGGAGCGACTTCCCAGTGGTGATGATACCGAATGACAGTGGGAGTAAGGAGTAGCCCTGGCGGTGTGGGGCGGCCTGTAGGCAGGAGGGATGGCAGTTCAGAACTGGGAGGACTGGGTGGTCGGAGGGGAGCACAGGGGAGAGGAGGAACGGCTTAGGAACAGCAGTGATGATCAGGAAGGACGCCTTCCCCGCCTCCGGGCCGGGCCCATGGTACAAGAGCTACCACGGGAGGCCTGCGGGAGAAGCAGCAGCACAGTCCTCAGGGAGAACTAGGTTTCTGTTGGAACAAATTAGGGGGCAGAATAGCCGAGAAATGCAAGTTGGGAATATGGGAGACTTGCTCGTGGCTGACGGATTTCCAAGGGGCCTGGTGGAAGAGATCAAGGAATCTGGCTGGGGCAGGAGAGTTTAAGAGATGAAGTCATAGACCAGCATGGACACCGCTGAGTGGGGGTGAGCATATAGGAGGTGACATGCCCAGGAGCCCGTCTTTGGTGACTACAGTAAGCATCGGCCATCAGGATAAAAGGTTTGAGGGTCTCGAGGCAGATGGTGTTGTGGTTATAAGTACTGGTGAGGGAAGGAGAGAAGAGGCTCTTAGGAGGAACCCACAGACTTCTGGGGACCCCTTTACTTCCAGAGACTCTCACAACATCCTCGCTCCTGACAGTTCGAAGCATGAGGCAGACAAGGGCAGGCTCCAGAACACTTGGAGCGTCCCTTCTTGATCCACGGGGCTGTGAAGTAGTCACTAATCTTTGTGGCAAGAGGACCGTGCACCGATTGGCTCGGGCCTGCTGTGGCAAGGACGCCGTGTAACAAATTACCTCAAGACGTAGTGGCTTAGAACAGCATTTATTATCTGGTATTTTCCTTGGATCAGGAATCCGGACAGGCATAACTTGTTAAGCCCTCCATCTCTGGGTTTCCAAAGCTGCGAAGAAGGTGTTAGAGGCTCAAATCATTTTGAGGCTCAGCTGGGGCGTTGGTCCTCTTCCAGGCACACTCAGTAGATGTTGCCGGGGTTCAGTTCCTCCCTAACTTTGGCCAGAGGCCCCCTAGGTTCCTTGACACGTGAGCCTCCCCCTAAAGCAGCTGCGTCATGCCAGAAAGCTTCATCCATGAGAGAGAGTGCTAGCAAGACAGAAGCCAGTCCTCCGTAATCTCATCGCAGACGTGACATTCCCATCACTTTGTCCTCATCCTGTTCATTAGAAGTAACTCACGAGGTCCGGCCCACACTCAGGGGGAGAGGGCGTTACACAAGGGTGTGCTGGAGACCCTGTTCGAAAGTCACCCACCCCTGAACCAACCACTGATGATTGAGACTGGGACCAGTCAGTTTCTCCCCACTCCTGGAGCTGGACTCAGGTCCCTAAACCACAAGGCCACCATAATAGCAGGCAAGAGCAGAGGATAGAATAAACATTGGGAGGACAGCCGCTGCGTTTGCTGTAACCACTAAGCAGTGTCCATGCTTTTATCCTTCAAGCCCTGACCTTTTCTTTCTGCAGTAAGGGGCTATATCCTTAGTCTCCCCAGTGCCCTCAAGATCAAGTCCAGACTCCTTACTTCGGCACATGTTGGCCTTTGTACGGAGATACTGAGATCCCAGTTATCTGTGCCACCTTCCTTCTAACCGTGTACTCAGTATCTGCTCAGCCAGTGGTTCATCCAACTTTTTGGTCTCGGCACCCCTTTAATTCACTTAGAAGTTATTGAGGGCCCCAAAGAGCTTCTGTTACACCTGTGAGCATTTACTTAATGCTCACAGGTGTAGCATTTATTAGGAATAAAAACTTAAGATATTTATTAATTTGTAAAATAATACTCAATATAAATAACATTTTTATGAAAAATACATTTTTTAGAAAGTGTTTTGAGAAGAAAGACATTGCTTTACATTTTTTTTTTAAGTTTTTATTTAATTTTTTTTAGCAACCTCTGTACCCAGCATGGGGCTCGAGCTCACGACCCTGAGATCAAAGAGTCACACGCTCTACTGAAAGCGAGCCAGGTGCCCCGTAATGTTTTGCATTTTAAAATTTCTTTAATGTCTGGCTTAACACGAGACATCAGGGTTCTCATATCTGCTTCTGTTTTCAGTCTCTGGTTGAGTTATATGAAAAAACGTGGCCTCACATAGATATGTAGTTGGAAAGTGGAGATACAAGTGTTTTAATAGTTTCTTCAGATCATTGTGAATGTTCTTCTTTGAAATTACACCAGCTCTGTGTAAGAGGTATTTTCTGAAAGGTTACTAGCCATGTGCAGTCTGAACTTTCTGTATTCTGTTAATAAAGTCTGTCGGACTGTCTGGCACTGTGAATAGCTCTTACCCATTTGGAAGATACTGGCTCCCTGAATTAGTTGGGTCTTCCAAATCTTTCATTATCAAGTATTTTTAATGACATTTTTAAATACCAGGTATATCTTGTCAGAAAAATCCTTATTGGGAAGTCTTGACTGTAGAGGATTAAGTTTTCCAGAATTCTAAGTTTCACTTAAAAGCTCAAGTTTCGTCGTTGGCAACAAATACTTCCACTTGTCTTCCTTGAGGGAATAGGCTCATTTCACTTACTTCTGAGAAAGCGTCCGAATAACCATAGTTTACCTGTCATCATTTTGTCAAGTGACAATGGTGCTCCGTGAAAAGACCCTGTGACTTCCACCATCTCATCATTTCCGCTGTGTTCGGGGCTCCTTCAGCTCCGCGCCCACCCACAGCCTCTTCCTGGGCCTCGCGTCCGTGGGCCTCGGGGGGCCTGGTTGCGTTAGTCGGCCGGCATCTGACCGAGGGCGGCCTGGCGCAGAGCACGGCCGCCGGCACAGAGGGAACCACTTCTTGCTGCGGACTTGGAGGAGACGTCCAGGCTAGCACGTGCTCCGAGCACCATGTCCAGGATACGTACCATTGTGAATCAGCAAGACGGTTTTTGATGCGGAGGCGCCAATAGAGTCGTGGTGGTATATGACAAGTTAAAAAATGGATTTGTAATTCGCTTTTTATAAGCACCCATTCAACAGTACCTTGTTGAAAGACACCACGCCCCCCCACACACACACACACCAAATCCCATGTCCTTACAGTTGTGGTCACATTCTGGTATCACCTTTTCTTCGTTGGGAGCATTAATTCTATTCCGAGGCGGCTCTGGGACCATCTGTCCCAAAAATGTTCTTCAGTACGGCTTGAGTCGTCGGCGCTGTGAATATTCCACCAATGTCCACACAGATTTTATCGCCTTTCACATTGGTATTAGTGAAAAGACATTGTTAAATAAATTCCTTTGGTTAATAATTTTTCATTGATTTAAATGGGTGTCTTCCTCCTTCACAAGGGAGGAAAATCCCCCAAAGTCTGTGAGTATAATCATATCTAGTATTTTTATGTGTTAATTATTAGGAGTCACTAGTCACTGCATTTTGCAGGTTCACAGATTTGAAATATGATTTTTATTGTTTTTTTTAGTTGACTTTCTCATTCAGGTAGGAACAGAGCAGGCTGGCTGTAAGAGAAGTGTTTCTCCTTTTTTTTTTTTTTTTTTTTTAAGATTTTATTTATTTATTTGACAGAGATCACAGGTAGGCAGAGAAGGGGGGAAAGCAGGCTCCCTGCTGAGCAGAGAGCCCGATGCAGAGCTTGATCCCAGGACCCTGAGATCATGACCTGAGCCGAAGGCAGACACTTAACCCACGGAGCCACCCAGGTGCCCCAAGAAAAGTATTTCTGCCATCTTGAGGTTTAGTAGCTTTTCCTATTTGAAGGTCCTGGAATTATTTATATATGGCATAATGTACACTATAGATTTGGACTATATATGTGAGAACATACCCACGAGTGAGTACTCATGAGCTCACAAGTGAGTTCATTCACTTAGCAAAGAATGGAAACAGGCTGTTTTAGGAAGAAATACGGAGGGCCCGAAATCCCTCTTTCCTTTGTCCCTTGAGAGCATGGGGAGTAGGGGGAGTAAGGTATTTGGGTTAATGATGAAGAAAACAAAAACAGCATCCCTATGAAGAAATGTAACCTGGTAGGATTTATGGTAGGACCCAGATTGAAACAATTCTTTTCTGAAATGGAAATATTTTGTCACACAGATGCCATCTAAATTTTCAAAGAAATCTAGACTTCCTTTCTTATCGTACATCTTGATTTTGTTAAATCTTGTATGTCTTCGAACCATATGTCCCAAGTAATTAAGTTATAAATACTATACAGAGTAATTTGCATACATTCCAAATGCTTTTTAAATTTGAAGCAGCTTACCTTTCTTTCTGACACCACAGTCCTCACAAAGATGGATTATCTCAATTTCTCCAGTGACTTTATCCCAGCAATACATTGTCCTGAGCTGTACGAGTGCACGCTACTGCACTCTGTCCCTGCCAGACAGTAGACAGAGTTTATTGTTTTGTTTCCTTTTTTTGAATGGCATACTACAGATGCCCTAGCACCTAGCTTGCTGAGCTGACCGGTATCAAGCACAGCCTCACCGGGCTGTTCTTGCTGAGTATTGGTAATGCTGCAGTACAGATTAAAATCTCAGGAAATCCCACTTATGTACTTTACAGGTATGGAGCTTTTATTGTTAATGTCCCAAATCATCTAAAGTCTTGTTTTCTTTCTTTTTTTTTTTACAGACCTAACTACCATAATGAATGCTGCATATTAAGAAAAACCATAAGAAGGTTATACATTTGGTTGTCTAATAATCTTGGATTTGATATGAACCAACACATACTCCTTGTTGTCATTGACAGAACCCCAGTTTGTATGTACATTATTCACATTCCTCTCTGTTGTGTTTGGGGGAAAAAAAGACATTTTAGCCTTTTTTAAGGTTATTGATTTAATTTCATGTTATTTGGTTGCATGAAGTTGCCCTTAACCACTAAGGATTATCAAGATTTTTGCACAGACTTATACATGTCTAGGATCCTTTTATCAAGGCAGTTACGTTCATCATTCTCCTGCCTTTACTCCACTGTCACCAGACACTCCATTAAATATAAATTAGCACTTTTTAAAAATGACCACTCAACATAATGCTTACGGGATTTCCTCTCTGTGACAGAACCCAGGAACCAGTTCCTAAACACATAATGTTGGCATATTGAAGATGAAATTAAATTGTCCTTCAGTTTTGAGGCCATGTGTAAAGTTTAATCACATTGTAAAATATCTATTCCGTATTAGAAATAGCTAGTCGACAGCTTATACTTCTCAAAACTCATTGTTACGTACACAAACTCAGTTTTTATATGTGAAGTTAGTGAGTCTTTTGTGTTATTCCAAAATAAAGGCAATGATTTATTTTTTCCCCAATGCCAATACAATTTGAGCTAATCACTCAAGGTGGATAATTTACATTTTAAAGCTGGAATCAGCAGTAGCCCTATGGGAAACCAGACCAAGCATTGACTTTAAATGAACCATTGTTTTCTTTTGGAACTAGAGTTAGAATAGTTGATAATCATCCACAAACCATTATTATGTGTACATTATTGTTGCTATTGTGATAATAGAGAATTTTATTTATTTTTATGCCAGCTTATATTGTGAGAACACATTTAGTCAGTTTGGGTTTTATCAATCCTGTTATGCTTGTCCTTGGAACATCTTTCGCGTATTCGAGGTTTGTAGTTGAAAAGTTTACTGTAAAAAAAAAATCAAAAACAAAAAAATGTATTGTTTTTACAGAATAAATTTATTGGAATGTGTACTGGGAGTAAGATTTGAGGTTGTAAACAACGAAGTTAGTGTAATTTGGCTTCATCTATGTAATGTGAGGTATTAATGTAATTCATATATTAAAGCAAAAATTGTTAACAGCAAGTTGACAATAGAATCAAGTGCAGGTGAGGGTTTTTCTTTTTCTTTTTCTTTTTTGCACACTGTCTGGGTGTTAAGTTTTTTGTAAACATGGAGGAGGGAGAGGAATGGCTACATGATTGCTTGCACGTCTCAGATAATATTTACCAGCTCAGTGGACCCTAAATTCGCACACTTGACATTATCCATGCACTGATTTGGACTCCCATTTCTTTTTTGTTTTCTTACTGTGGTGAAGAGCTAATAAATAACATGAAGAGAAAATGTGAGCTGCTCTGAAAGCCCGAGGCCATTGAGGACAGCGATGGTGCTGGTGCTGGTGGCAGCGCGCCCAAATGGATGGAAAGCACCAGTCTGCTTACCCCTCCAGGGCGCACGGATTTTTAGTTTGCTTCTCTCGCTTAACAAATACCAACTTTTTTCTCTATACTCATAATTCCAAATATGAAAGGTTCTTTAGAAGATAAAAGGGATGCCAATCCAGTTCTTTCTCCCTTAGAAGTACTTTTTAGTTTTGAGTGCTGTAATTTAATTTTAAATTAACGAAATTTAATTAATTCATCAGAAATCCCCTTCATTGCTCACACTAAAACATAAGGAGAATGTAGATGACATTTTGAATTGGAACATGTAACTGACAGATTTTAAAAAAAAAAACCCTAGAGACTACGAAACTGTTTCTGAAAAAAAAAAAAAAATACAAAATGTTTCCAGTTTAATAAGATTTGTTTTCATAAAAGGCCAAAAAAATTTATTAAAAATATACACAGAAATACAATAGAAATATTTCCAGTCACCGATAAAACCAGTATTCATTAAGAGTAATGATAAAGTTATCGATCTCTCCTTAGCTATTTAGGCTCACAAAAAAATTTTACTAAAAGCAATTTTTAAAACAGCAGTGAATATAATAGACTTTCCTTGAGAAAACATTTTCAAATAACATTTTGAAATACTGTGATTGATTTGCTTGTTATATTGAGGTTAATAATGATGCATATATGTCTTATATGCAAAAAGTATCTCTCCAGTATGTATTTGTTGTTTTGAATTTTTTAATATGCGTAGGCCATATTCACTTTTGAATAGTTTCATTTTCATTCTCACTATTGTAGGAACTTAATTGTAATTGTTTACAGTTATATTTAATATGTGCAAACAATATGGAAATAGATGGTCAAGTTTATTCACAGATAATTTTGAATATATTTCTTTAAGCAAACCGTTTCTCAACTTCACTTTTCCTTCAAAGAAAGAAAATTTTACCCACACAAAACCATATGAGAGCTCATATACAGTGCCGAACAAGAATTTATGTATTCTTAAGTATTCCTGTATGAGAAGGGAGTGAAATGGGACAATATAACAGTATCAGGATAACAAAAGTCAGTAATCTAGAGAGGAAGAACATGAAATAATATTTTTATTCAACTTTTTCATCTGCCTTTGTTTTTATAAAGAACTCTGGTTTGTAGATACAACGATAGGCCAAGAGCTGAGGAAGAACTCCATATGCTATGTTTAATGCTAGAAAAAGGGTTTTCGCTTCTTCGGGGACTCTGTAGACATAAGCAGTTCTAGCATGAAGAGAAGCACCGATGTGAGAAAACTGAGCCTGTTGCATTTAAAAAAAAGGGGGGGGGAGGTAAGCATGAATTCTGTGTTCAGTTGGATTCACAGTGTGTTCTGGGTGATTCATTCAGACCCTGCTTCCTGTGCCCTCGAAACCAGTGCTCAAGCAATCCATAGTCTTCAGGATTTCATTGAATTTAGGGCCAGTCTTAACTGTTCAAATAAAGTAAACCTTCCTTAGCGAGGCTTTATCATGCCGCTGTTTATTCACCTGTCCGGTGCCCCGTTCCAAACACCAGTGGCTCAGTTTAAAAGAAAAATTGAGCAAAATCTCGGTGTTTTTGTTTTTGTTTTTTTTTCTGATTTGCATTCTGGAGATCTATATAGGCCGTCACTTGTGGCTTACTAAATGTGTTCCAATAAAGATGAAGAAAGTACAGAGTTTACAAAGTGGAAATATTTTTAATACAACTATTTAAAGAGAAGCACTGAGGACCTCGGCGTCCTAAATCAGTCTTTGACCTTTTCCTTGCAACAAGAGCTCAGAGCCCTTTGTTATATATTTTTTGTTGGTCTCTTCAAGCATTGGTTTTTTATGCAACTTTAAAAATACTAGTATGTAGGGTTGTCACCAACTTGGATGGGGGTAGGACTGTGGTTGCTCTTTATAAAATGGTAAATGTACCTGCCGGCAACCTTTTCAAGTCGAAGTCTAGTCTATTTAGAAGTAGAACCAGTCCCGGTCAGCATCATCTGAGCTAGAGCTTCCGGTTGGTCCGTCCATACTTGTTATAACGTGCTTTCAGGATGTATCTTTTTTGATACTTTTCGTAAGCACAGGGGAAAACTGTATCAGAAAAGGCGTCCAGTGAGGATTTCTCAGGGTTCTCATATTGTTACAAAATGCAACCCTGGAGTCTGCGTTTTCATATCTCACTGAAATCTAAACTGTATGTGAATAAAGGATTGGAAATTAAATATATCCAAGTGATGGATTATTAGTTCATCAGGATCAAAGTGAAGAGAGAAGATATTATAATCCAAAGAAGTCACAGAAGAATAATAAGAATGAAAAACTAAATAATTTGCTTCACATACATACGAGTTACCTTACACTTCCTTCTGTATGAGATCAGTCTGTTCTGCTAAGTGGTTCACAGATAAAAGTGTTCCTTAGCACCTGACTTTATCATGGGAAGAAAAGGACACGCTTTCATCGGTGGCATGTGTATGGATTTCTATCAGTGATGGGTACTTTAACAGGCTACATTTTTACAAAATTACTGGTACATTCTAGGGACCTCACAGTACAGTTTTGCTACTCTCTGGAGATAAGAAATTAGTGTGGTGTGTTACCGAGGACCAACACAGAAACTGTCCACCCCTGCGTTGTGACCCAGGAGGCTCTGGGAGGGCTCGGCCCCCAAACACACGTCCCCCAGGCAGATGCCCAGACGGCGCCCAGCAGATGGTAAGCATTCCACCTCCAGGCTCTGAAGACAAAAGACCTTGCGAGTTAAGGGCACTGGAGAGGCTGCCTGAGAAGCCGCTCTTGGGCGGTTCTAGGAACACAGACCAGGAGCTTGGCCCCTGTTGCTGTTTTTCCCTAGGGCCTCTTTTGAGTAACAGTGTTTTTCTGAATAATATAACCAAACTTCTGGACTAGAGACCAGATATGAATCTTGATCTTCAGAAATGTGGGTTTGGTGTCTCTGTCTTTAAAGACGCTTGTACACATGACAAAAATCACCAGGTTTGGGGAAATGCCAACCATCCTTTGAGAGATTAATAGGAGCAATCATGCCTCCTTGCATAGGGAAACCTGCATAAGAAGTCAGTGAATTCCGTAGGGTCTTTTCCTGCACTCCCCAGTGCAGTTAATACCTCATTTTCAAAAACCGCAAAATCATGGCAACGTTACAAAATGATCATGTCCTTAGATTAGATTGTAAGCCCACCGGGCAGGTACCGTGTCTAATGTTTCGTGTGGCGCCTCTCGCATTGTTAGAGCTCAATAAACATTAAACAACAATGGTCTTGTGACTGTCAAAATACAAAAAGGTTCTACAAAGCACTTCTCTATTTTTATACCTATTTCGGTAGGCCTGTCTTCTCCAGAATTATTAACCGAGGGGTACAGATCTACGTTCCTAATGCAGAGAGGTGGCTGCAGTTTCTGGCACTGCCTGCAGCTCTAACAGGTGTGTTTACAGTGGCCACACCTCCCGCTGAGTAAGCCCCCAACCACTGCTTCCTTCCAACACCCGTGCTGTCCCCTTTCCAGAGTTGCGAAGTTTCAGAAAAACCTCCATCTCCCTGGAGAACGGTTTCCTCCCCGAGCACACAGCTGCTAAGGGCCTGCACGGGCGTCCCGTGTGATGCTGCTCCCAGCACACGAGGCCTGCGGACGGCAGGGCCGAGAGCTCAGCCTGGCACCCGCTGGCTCTGGGCTCCGTGCGGCTGAGCTGTCACCCAGGCTCACAGGTACAACTTGTGGAGCCCAGACATTTCTGCCAAATTCAGTGATGTGACATTGAGCCCCTAATCTTTCTTGCCATTCTAAACCTGCTTTCACCTCAAGTAAATTTCAAAGATAGGCTTTGATCCTTTTATTAGTGGATGATTAGAATGGAAAATGAGGCCAAAAAAAAAAAAAAAAGCAAAGAATGGTTAAATTTTAATAACTCCCTTTTCTTGTATTTAGAGACAACATGGAAAGGATAACTAAAAGTCATGATCTTGAATGCGAAAGGAGAGGTGAAAGTTACCCTGTGTCCACATAAGTATCATAGGCCAAAACTGATGTGAGCCCTGGGACAGCAGCCAGGCTATTTGGCTGATACAAATATGAATAGTTAATCCAGAACTATGTCATTTTTTAGGGTTTTCTGAGCAGCACAGTCCAGGGGTTAAGAACACTGCATCTGAAGCAGACGGCCAGTGTCCGATCCCAGCTCCACCAGCAGCATGACCTTGGGTTAGGTATGTAACCTTTTTGGCTTCCTCATCTAGAAAAGTCGGATAATAATGGAGCCTACCTCATAAGGGTTGCTATGCCCGCTCAATGAGCTGATCTTTGTGGAGTGCTTAGGACAGTGCCAGGAGAATCACCTATTCATGATCTGGCATTCTCCTTTGCTGACAACTCAGGTGGGCTCTTCTTTTTTAGGTCCCCCTGCTGACCTTTTGACTATTTCAAGACGGTCTGTCTCTAATCTTAATGCTAAATAAAGATGTTTACTGATGAATTACACTGAAGCAAACTATTAAATTAGAATTTGCATTAGTATTCCCAATTATCCATGTTCTGAAATCTTTCAGGTTTTTCCTAATGGTTTCCATAAGGGAAAAACATAAAATTCCCCTTCAGTAGGGTCAACTCTGCAACCAGATTCTCCACAGATAAGCTTCTAGACCCGTTTGTGAGAAAAGGACACAGCACCCGCTGTAGCCAGGGAGTGCGAGAGTCTGAACTGTGAGTGGGAAGGGGCACCACCCCAGCCAAGGCGGGACTGTTCCGTTTGCAGGGCTGTGGGTATTACTGGACGGGCGGCGGGCTCCCTGCCAAAGTCCACTGGGAGTCCGTCCCAAATCTTTTTCCCAGTCCCTCTGATCTTTAGGTAATAACATCTGTTACACATGGCTTCAGATGAATGAGTCTTTGAGCAAGACAACGCACTTCCTCTCCAGACTCCTGTTGGGAATCTTAAACCAACGACGAGAACAGCAACAAAGACCCACGGCGCTTTCTGTGCCAGGCCCTGTTCTAAGCCTTGTACACAGAGGCCCTCATTCAGTCCCCTCCCAGCAGCTTTAGCAGAAAGCTCCTATATTATCCTCACTTTCACAGCAGAGGAATCCAAGGTGGCCAAGGTCACGAGCTCCCCAAGGACAGGCTGAGACACGACACAGTCTCTCCAGAGATTGTGCTCTTAACCATACTGACTAGATTGTTTTCTTCTAATGCTCAGTGATGTTTTAGCAGAGAAAAATCCTTCAGTTGCTGGAAGTTACCAATAATAAGTGGATCTAAGCAACCTGGAATACTTTTCAAACTAGACTTGAACTTCAATCCTACAATAACAATTTTATAGGAAAAGACACTTGAGTTATGAATAAGTCCCCACTGGTTCTTTGGTCTAAAAATGTGACCTGGTTTTAATTTAATTTTATTTATTTACTTTTTTTAACGATTTTATTTATTTATTTGACACAGAGAGAGAGAGATCACAAGTAGGCAGAGAGAGAGGGAGAGGCAGGCTTCCTGCTGAGCAGAGAGCCCCATTGCGGGGCTCAATCCCAGGACCCTGGGATCATGACCTGACTGAAGGCAGAGGCTTTAACCCACTAAGCCACCCAGGTGCGGTTTCTTTTACTTTTTGATTTAGGTTTTTGATTTTTAAAGACTGCAGATTTTACAGATCCGTATAGGATCTGAAATCAGGGACCCTGTAAGGACTTCACATGTTTTTTCCACTGACTTGTACTGATCTAGAAATTTTTCACTTTTTTTTCTATTAAATCAGAGTCTTAGGAGTCCACTAGGCCTTTCAAGAAATGCAAACTTTGATAAAATTAGTGGGATCGTGAGTGCATAAAGCTTCTAAACGAGGAATGCGGCAGTTTTAGTAGGCGAGGGATGCGAGGTGGGTTATGGAGGGTGTTTTCTGTGATCAGTGTGTCTGATGCCCTCCCAGGACAAGAATTCGTTTTGTAAGCAAGTACTGGCTAGGCAGAAAACCAGTTACGGAACATTCTCATCGTGGGCACTTTGTTTCCACGGTGATTTATAACTTTTCCTTTGGCTAACTCTGGAGTAGCTAGATACTATGGCTGGATACTGAGGCCCAGCGCAGAGTCGGGACGATCGGACACCCAGTTCCCAGACGACGCCATTTCTGGGTGGGGAGAAACCGGCTCCTGGCACTTGTAGGATCTAGTCTGTAGCCTCCGGCTACCTTGTGGCACTGGGCTGTGGTGGGCAAGCCGAAGAGTTCCTGCGAGGCCGGGGCTCTGGCTGAAGCCGCCAGTGCTGCTGCCCAGAGCTGTCTGCTGGCCCCCTGGCCTTCCCAGGAGCGCTGGGCCAGAGCTGCTGGCCTGGCTGCAAGCCTAGCCCTCACCAGCAGCTACAGTCCCGGGTTCGTCTTAGTGCTGTCACTTCAAGCACACCCCCAGGCCCCCAAGGTGTGACCTTCCCAAGCCTCCTGACTGCCCCCTGTCCACCCGACTGGGTCCAGCAGTGGCCTCACTCTTGTTAGCCTCCTCGACGGGGATAGTCCGGGTTCTGCAGCCGGGCCTGCTACGGGGCAGACACAGGTCCCCAGGCTTGGAGAGGGACCGTGACTGTCAACTCTGAGCAAGCTAACCTCGAGGAAGGGACCGGTAAGAGTGAGGCTGGTGGGAGCCCCTCTCTCCTGGGCGGCGCAGGAGAATGAAGCCAGGAAGGCAAAAGCCAAGGTTTACTCCCCTGTGACCTGCCGCAGCTCCTAAGCGCTCTCCCCGCCTAACGCGGCCTACCCCGGCCTACCCTGGCCTAGCCCGGCACTCGCAGGCCCGCTCCTACGTTCCTGCCTCCCAGCCCCGGGGACTCTCCGGCTCCCCCGTGCCCATACAAGGTCTGGCTTTGTGCCAATGGGTAGGACTCCACCATGGCTAACGTCTGCATGAGAGGAAGGATACGGGTGGAGAAAAACGTGGGCACTGGGGTCAGACAGGATTCCAGATCCCTCTTCTGCCATTTAGTAACTGTGACCCCAGGCAAGTAACAAGCTGCCCTGAGCCTCCGCTTTCTTATCTCTCAGTGAGGCTTTGAAAACCAAACAGAACTGCAGGGCTTGTGCTGTGTTCATCACTCCAGGCCTCCTGGGGCGCACAGGAAGACCACAGGATCTGCTTCCCCTGCACTCATGTTGATGCCAGGCCTGGCTCCTGAAAATACCCCCCATGCCCTTTGCCCAAGCAAGAAGGCGGACTTCACTGTGCTAAACCACTGCGTATTTGCTATGCCAGGAGAGCACACAGCCTGGCCTCACCCAGACAAGTGAGCAGAACACTTAGCCTGCTCTGCCTCCCACAAAGTAAGCGGACGCGCGCACCGACCACTGCAGGGCCAGGAGCTGTAAGCAGCGGGTGTGCGATTACTCTGGAGACAGAACTAACTGGACCTAGCAACGTGCTACACGTAGGGGTGAGGGCATGGCAAAGGCTGTTTGCAGGGATGGGGGACGTGGAGGATAAGGCGTAGGGAAGGTCGGGAGGGCTGTTTTAGACACTAACTCCAAGACAGCCAAGTGAAAGACTGAGTTTAGGATTTGGTCTAGGAGTCTGGGAACAACTTGGCCTAAAGACAGAAAATTAAAAGTCAGCTTACAGGGGCGCCTGGGTGGCTCAGTCAGTTAAACGTCTGCCTTCAGCTCAGGTCATGATCCTAGAGTCTTGGGATCAAGTCCTGCATCAGGCTCCTTACTCAATGGGGAGCCTGCTTCTCCCTCTGCCCGCCACTCTCCCTGCTTGTGCTTGCTCACTCTCTCTCTCTGACAAATAAATAAATAAAACTTTTTAAAAGTCCGCTTAGAGTTAGTATTGAAAGATACTGGCCTGAGGAATCGGCTGTTCCGAGGCCTGCAAAGAGCAAATAGTAGTTCTCTTCCGTCTTAAGTCCTTCAAGGAAAGGACAGGAACCCTTACTTCCAGGTGCTGTACCAACTTTTTTGATACTAATATTCTAATTCTGTAATTGAGAATTACCTCAGACTAGAAGGATTTAGCTCAAAGTGTTAACCCCTGACTGCCACAGCTATTTTCCAGCCTGTAAACACCAGGGCGTCATGCTGCCGTCCCACACCAGGACTATGACTGACACTTTCCAGATGAGCCTTGTTCTGCTTGAAAAGAGCAAGATGCAAGAGTGACTTTACAAGGTAGATTCGTTTGTTTCTTTTTTATTTATAGTGGGGGGGGAGATAAAATTACTGAATAATTTTCTTCCCTGTTCATAAGATCAGTTTGTCTTGCCAACTGTTAGCTTGTAAAAATGTACTTTGAGTAAGAATGCACCTCCACAGATAATTTTATTTCCAGTTCAATGAAGTAAGCATTCACTGAACGCCCACTAAGTGTTCCGTGCTAAGAGGCCAGGGGCTGGACTGAGTGGAGGGGCAAAGAGAGGCATGACTGGGAGCAGAATGTTCTCCAGCCCGGTTTCCCTGGCTCAGTGCAGGGTAGCACAACAGAATTCTGACATCTTTGGTGTGAGACAGACACCTACAAGGTGACAGCTCTCCATTCTTGTTAGTAGCCATGGTGTTCAGAGACGGGGAAACCACCCCAGGGAACCAGCAGGGCCCCTTGCTGGGCGTGTGACCTGGGACAGATCGCTAACCTCCCCGGGCCTCAGCTTCCTCACCTGTACAGCCGGGTGACACACTGCCACATGGTTCTAGCGGGATCTGAATGAAATGCATATGCAGAAACGCCTCCCAAGGCACTGGGGAACCGAGGGGGACGAGTCTAGGACCTGCTTCCCACCCCCTGGAAACACCAAGCAGAGACGTTTCTCAGATTCCCAACAAGGACAGCCAGACCCGCAGCGGACGTTGTGAACAGAGCGTATGTGTAGTACCTGAGCTAGACCTCCGGCGTGCATCAGCGTGACGTCGGGCATCCAGGAGCATCCAGGAACCACCAAGCCATAGAGCGCAATCACGAAGTAAGGGACAGAGTAGAACAGATACGCCAGCATCTGCATTGAACAGAGAAATAACATCGTCAGCAACTTCACAGTCAGCCCCGCCTGACGAAAAGCACAAAAGATGAACGTTTTTATCTCTGAGAATATTCACTCCCATTTCCTACGTGGGTCCCCACGTTCCCATTCTTAAAGAACCGAACACCCATGTTAGAAAGACCATGGGCTTCATAACTACTTGACCTGGACTTTAGGATAAGCAGTGGGATCCTTTAGGTAGGGCTCTTGAAATTGCGTGTAAAATCGGCAGAGCTCAGCCGGGCAATCCAAAGCAATCTGGGAACAAAAACAAATTCATTACATAGTTGCAATCACATCGGATTCTCAGCGTTCGCTGGGAGGGCTAAAGGTTCCAGGTTCAGCCACAGGCCATTTTAACGGCATATGGTAGAAGCTTATCAGTAGGAGGGAAGAGAAAAGCAATGTTCTGCAGATCTGCTCTGAAGAGACGAAGAGGTTAACAGTGGAGCAGGAAATACGTGATGCCCTATCTCTGGGTGCTCCTTCAGTGCCAAGACTCCCACTGGCCAAAACACGGCTCCCACCGGATGACCAGGTTCCCTCTTCCCGGGAAGAAATAACTAGCCAGCTGTTCTGTGCGGGAAGAAAAGGACATTGCTAGCCCAAACTCCTCTCACTGTGCTTTGCAGAATTTAAAACAGCCTCCTGCGCTCTGCAGCACCTCACGGAGCACATGGCCTCTGGGGGCAGTAAAGGGTGAGCCGAAAGCAGGGTCCTGTGCGAAGCCACGTCCCGTGTCCGCCTTGAGAGGGAACAGAGCAGAGCAAAGCAGAGTTGGTCCCAGCAGACTCCTGGCCATGGAAGAGACACCGTCTCCCTGGCACATCATCAGGTCCCTCTGAGTCACCTCTCTCCTGCATCGCTCGTGTCCCCGGTCATAAATGTCCTGCCTAGATGACATCTGGGAACGCGGGCCAGTGACAGAATGGATACAAACGGGCCCAGGCAGAAAAGCCCTTCTGCACAAGTCCCGCCCCCGTGCCCACATCCTCCTTGTGCACAGAGGCGCGGACACGGCTCTGCAGGGATACAGCCGGAGCTCGTTTTTGTTGTTGCTGTTCTCTTCTCTTTGGGACACAAACTAACCAAGGAACAGTTTTAAGGTTGCCTGGCTGGCTCCGCTGGTAGCACGAGTGACTGCTGATCTTGGGGGCCTAGGTTCGAACCCCATGTTGGGCATGGAGATTAGTTAAGAAAAACGAAACAGTTTTACTGCTCTGTACTCTGAGCAAACCCTCCAGCCCTGCCTTCTCCTTTACATCCCTTCCCTGTGCCACTCCTCCATTAGCTGACTTGACTCCGGGAAATTTCTGATGCTCTACTGCTGGAGATCAGAGCTTCTTGCTCTGAACCCAGCCAGCCGCACAGAGTGTACGGTTCAAGGACCCCAAGACAGTGGGTCAGGTACATTAGCTCACACTTGCCACTCGCCTCACACTTGCTGTGCAAGCCAGCAGGCTGAGAGCAGCCATTGTCACCGAAGCGGAGTATAATTACTCATATGATGTTGGCTGCTGGGATTTGTTTCCACTAAGAACAAATCATGGTACTCGGCATTGCGAAGGACTGTCCATCAATAAAGATCGTAACTAGTAACCCTATGTGGCCAAGACTTACCACGTCTAAGGCCCTCTGTTAAGTGTTTGATGTTTGTTCTCTCATTTAATGGTCAAACCGGCACCGCAAGGTAGGTGCTGTTACTTTACAGCAGAAGAAACTGAGCTCAGAGAGGTTAAGTCATTTTAACAAGGCTACACAGCGGGTAAACAGCCAGGACTCTAACTCCTTGCTCTGGACCCCGCCTCACTACCCTGTCCCTACCCCTGAGAACACGAGGCATGCTCTGTGCCACAGTGTCACTGGCAACTTCAGGAACGACCCTTCCCAAAGACAATGACATTTAAAGCAGAAACAACAAAGAAACCAAAAGAATGAGACTCTACGAGCTCATTTTTCAGGGACCCTGACATCAGGGCAGGAAGAGACTTCTGGGTGGGCTTAGTGCAAGGTGGCAAAGGAGGTACACGTGACAGCCCAGCGCCCCCCACCCCCGAGGGAGGAAGGCTGGGGGTCGACCTGCCGGGTGGGAGAGCGGCAGCAAGCCGGGCCGGGTTTTGTTGGGTCACTAGGACTCCTGATTAAATATATGTTTTCTTTAACGTTCCTGTGATCTGTGCCGCTTACCAGTCCTCTAAACAGACAAAATCCAGTTGCGAGGAGGAGACACACGACCAGCATTAAATCCAATGGTCTTCTCATCAGGTCCTTTGCTTGGGCTTCGTGAATGACCTAAAACAAGAGTTTGTACCAATGAGCAGGCCCCGAGCGCCAGAGAAGCATCAGAGATCCATGGACGCGGAAGCGCTCTGGTGCTAGACGGGGAGAGAATTCTCTGGATGGGTGATTCGTGTCATAAACCACCAGCTGCCCAACCTAGGAAAATCGTGTCCCGCCTCCTCTCTGCTTCTGCTCTGCTCATGTGAAATGAGGAGATGGGGCCGGGCCGTCTTGAAGGGCCCTTTGCACTCTATGAATGGTTTTTTGTTTTTTGTTTTTTTCTTGCAGTAACAGTTTTGTGATTATAAATGTAAGATACATTCATTTAAAAAGGTCAACCATAAACCCAGCACATTATTAGGAGCCACTCTGTTTCTCTGGAGATATCCGTCTACTTACCTATCTGATCTACGTGTATTTTTTTAACAAAATTATGACTTTATGTATAACCAATTTTGTATTTGTCCTTTTGACACTTAACATCTACCTATTTTACAAGCACTTTCCCACGTTACTAAAACCTCTCCTGACACGTTGTGTCACGTGGAAGCACCATATTTCAGCCCTTCTCTCACTGTCGGACATCTGGGCACTTGCACCGTTCATGTGATGATAAGCGATCCTGTATGAAAATCTTGACCGCATCTCTCTGACGACCGTCCGAGGACAGGGCTCTCGTGGGATTACTGGGTAATGGGGTGAAATTTGCTAAGGCTAATGACAGCCCCAAACTGCCTCGCGGAGCGAGTGTGGATTTATGTTCCTGTCCGTGCTGTGTGACGATGGCCATTTCTCCCTCGCCATCACTGTGTTTGGACATTTACAAAATGATATTGAACAGTCTTCTGTGTCTCACGGCATGAGTGGTGTTGACACACTGATGTGGAGACTTTTTTAAAAGTGGTGGAGCCCAAGGCTGTGGGTATTTCCTGCTGTTTAACAACCACCTCATTCCTCAAAAGGATGTCAGTGTGTCATCCTGAGTGTGCACAGCAGGTGTCTAATTGTTTACAAATGAGGTTTATAAATTACAATGCATTCAATGAACTCCACTAAGTCTTATAGTCACCCAAATAATCAGGTTTTGAAGATTGCTAGTAATTTACATTGCATGTTTCACTTTGCTTTATGGATCTTGCTTAAGGGTCTAATACCTGTAAGAGGAAAGGAAACTTAGATGTCACTAGCTTAGAAGTGAAGACCTTAACAGAGTACCTGCCCGGCCAGCGTTGCTTCACCTTGACCACCTTGGCCATGAATGCAAGGGAAGTGTCTTAGAAGACGTCCCGTAGCCAGTCTCCGGATGCCTGGATCCCTTGGTAAATTAGACCCTGAGGCTGTGTGTGCCACTCTACCCAGCAGGACCCCTACAGCCTCCCCTTGGGGCGGTAAAGGCACTGGCTTCTCTGCAAGGGTGCCCAGAGGCCTAAACACCAGGCCTTTAAGCGCCCCAGACAAACCATACAGTCCACGCACTAAAGCAGGATCTGATGGGAACAGCCAATGTGACAGGTGGCACAGGGAGTTCCAGAAAGCCCAGACCGTCCAGCTGAAGCAAATGGGTTCAGACAGAAACAGACCATCTCTGCCACTGTAACTGAGGTGTGATCAGTGCACAGAATCAGCACCGTCAAATGGACTGGCCCAGATGGTCCAGTGCGCAGAGGCACCGTTCGAGCCAGTAGCCAGGAGATGACAGCGAGCCCCGTGAGTTTGGGAACAGGTTACAGTTAACATAATAAAATCACCTTTGAGGGATAATTATAACTTTCTGATGGCTGATTATAGATTCTGAAACCAGCCCAGACAGGAAGACAAGTATACGGTATGCTTAAGATAAAAGCAGGACAAATGCGGGTTCCATACTTCCCTATTTAAAAGAAAGAAAGAAAAAGTCAAAGTCCAAAATTTGCCAAAAAGCATCTCTAAACACGAGTAACATTCAGGACACTCATCTCAAGTAATTTTAACACTGTGCTGTGGACCAGGCAATATTCTTTATGATACCAAATAAAACACATCAATTTAAAACTACAAGGTGCTCATTACCAGCATGTCCTAGCTACCGTATTTTTTAAAGAATATTTAATATAATGCCCTGATTGTTTACACACATAAATGATAACCTCTTTCACATTAGCTTTCGAGAGCCTTAGTACTCTTAATACTAAATAAAATACATTTATCGAATGTGTCAAAGAGTTACATATGATTAAAAAAAGTTGTAAGAAATATTTGCACACTGCAGGGAGCCACAGACACAAATACCCCCTCTAAATCCTAAATTTCAGGAGTCGCTGATTGTCTCATCGATCAGTGTACACTTCTTGAAAGTTGCTCAAAAGTATTTCTTAACAGGTGAGATGACAGAGGGGAAAAGGAAGAATTCGGCATACCGCTATCCTGTAGGCTTGGAATAACAACCAAGACAGTTTCTCTGTCTATGAACATTGTTCCAGAAGAGCAGAATGAATTTTAAGGTGAAGTTTCTTACCCACAATGTTTCCCGGCACAAAAACGACAATGCTCATGATAATAGATCCAACCCAATAGAGGCCAATGGTTCTATAACTTTCCCTGCAACGAAAAAATCTTGGCTTAGTGCACTCGAGTTAGGATACAATTAGCAAAAGATGACCCACGTGATTAGCATTACCCTAACTAGTAAAGTGTACGAATCGCAGCTTACTGAACCGATAGTAATCAGTCAACCCTAAGGGGCCCTACTGGTCAAATTTCATCCCCATCTGTGATACGACAGAACCCTATTTGTGTCCTTTTGAATAGGAAGTACACTTCTACCCTGATCACCTGTTAAACTACAACAGGTCAGTCACGGTCCAGGGAGGCCTGCGTTTCACTGTGTCCTGTGAAGCTCACGGCAGGGAAGGAAAAAGAAGGTTCGAGACGGAAAGGAAACTGGACCCATGCTTTAAGGCATTGTAAGTACGAGTAACAGGATGTTAAGTGGACTTTCCCTGGTGTCAGAAGGATGAAGGGTTCAGGGCCGTCCAGCCCGTGTCCTAACGGAGCGGCGGGCACAGGCCCCGAATCCTCACCGGCGAGGGTGGCCAGAAGCTCTTCCGGCTGGTAACTCTGCTCATCCCCACTCCGTAAGGGGCGATGAGAGACCGCAGGGAGACTCTCTGAAGGGGGGCAGAGGGGCCACACTGCGCTTTCTGCCCTTCCCCACGCCCCAAGCCAAGGGCTGCTGCTTCCCAAGAGGCCAGTTCACGACGGCTGGGATTGTCAGCAGGACCGGCGAGAACCTTCCCAGCAGAGATTAACGGACCCAAAGAAGCCCCAACCCACTCCCGGCCGCCTCCAAGCAGAGCCCAGGCATTCTCAGAAATACCTCATGTGCGCCCTGGAGGCCTGGGAATGTTCGTGAAGAGACAGGCTAGGACCGGGAAGAGTCCCAGAATGACTGGAGCTGTCCCTGGGCTTATGACTCAGGGTGCAGAGGCTCGGGGCAGGCGGTGGGTCAAGGTGAATTTCCACCTTGTCTGGGCAAGAATCCATCGTTTTCTCCAACCTGGAGCCCTGGGGAGGCCTGGGAAGGTGGCCAGGCTTGAGAGGATCCTGCCCCAAAGGGTACACGTTCTTGGGAACAGGGACGCCAGCAGAAGCAGCAGTGGGCATGCCACCGCGGGCGGGGAAGTCCCACGGATTCAGCTGGTGAGAGCACCGCTCACGCGAGGGCTCCGTGCCATGCCGTGTCCTGGCCCGGGGTCTCCGGAGAGCGCACCTCCGTGCCCCACAGGCCTGGCATGTCACAGCTGAGGGCACAGATCCCCAGAAACCAGAAATCCTCACGTAAGACTGCCCTCGTGCCTCAGCCCCACGTGCATGAACATGCGAGGAGCCCGCTGGAGACGAGACTGTCCTTACAAGACGACAGTCAGAAGCGGAAGGGTCTGCCCAAGCTGTCCCTATGGCTGGGGATCATCCAAAGGGACATGCTCAAAGGCAGCGGCGCCAAGGAAAGACCTTGTGTTGACGCCATCTAGCCTGTGTCCCTGGAGCGCATCTCCCCATTCCTGGGTACCTGTTCGTGCCTTTGCCCCGCCTGTGGTTTCCTTACACAAGCACGTCTCGGTGGCTAAGCTGACACAGGGACACACAAGCAGACGGACGGACTTACTCCCATGCGATGGCCGCCACCATCACCAGATACATCAGATAATGAGCGGAGCCGTCCCAGTAGCAGATCATGTGCCCGTACGCCGTGTTCAGATACGGCTCACCCTAAGGAGAGAGTCAAAGAGGGGTCGGCTTTCAGTCGGATGCAGACCGCCCCGCATACACCGGCCCGGGCTCCGAGGAGAGCGGAGCAGGGAGCTGGCTTGTGTTTGTCCGCGGAGACGAACCCAGGCCGAATCCCAAACTTTACCCTGAAGCTGCTATTGCTGAAGAGCCTGCCTGGCCATCGTCTGATGCATTGGGTGACACGCGTGGGCGGGGACACGAGGCAGGTGACATCACAGGCAACCAGGGTGGCACAGCTAACTCACGAGGCTGACTCAGATCTATGACCAGGTGCATGGCTCTGGCCGGAGGGGCTGCAGAGAGGACCCTGCCCGCCCAGCCACCAGCTGCCCCACGTGCCGATCCCCAGGCTCGTGGGGCTGAGGCTGCTCTGCACCCGGGCTCTCAGACAGACAGACAGACGGGCACCTCACCGCCCTCAACCTTCCTAGCCATCCTACGGACACACACAGCTCCGTCCACTCTACGCACGAGAAAACAGGGCTCCGAGGACTAGGACTGGCCTAAGGTCACATGGCGAACATCAGCATGCAGCATACCATCAAAAGCCATACTTCTGAGAAATTAATTTTATCAACATGAGATTATGGCACGTGCTACGTTTCCCTCCTCCAGACGGCTCCCAGAAAGTCACGGTCCAACTCGCAGGAGGTTTTAGTGTCATTCTGACACCCCCTCGTTCTCCTTTCTCCTCTCCTCCACGTTCATGCTCTCCTGCCCTGTGTATCCCCCGAGATGCCCTCCGTCCCATCTGCAGCAGCCAAGAGGGGGCCCCACTGAAGCCTCACGCTCCCGGGTCAGGGGCAGCCCTGTCGTCTGTCCCCACGAATCAGATGGAATAAAGACCGTGGAGGAAGTGGCAGTAACACAGCAGCTGGACTTGTGTGTTCATGCCTGGCCCGCATCCTCTCTCTCCAACGTGCTCTGGCTGGACAATCCAATCCAATGTCATGACTTCATTTCCCGCCGACACACCTGGCCCTCAGAGCCGGAGCTGGCCTCTCCTGGCAGCCGGATGGGCGTCTTGAACTGGACGGCCCGCGGGCCCTTCCAACCCCCTGAACTCCTTTCCCTCCGCAGCTTCTGCCCTCTGCCAAGCCCAGCACCCAGCCTGCCTGGCTCGAAGCCACAGGCCGTCTGTGTCGTTCCTCTCTCCTCTGCAGTCTGTGGGCAAGTCCGGTCAATTCTCTCTCTCTGAGCTCCCCACGGGCCACCCTCCCTCTCCACACAGCCCCGTTCAAGCCCTCGGTACCCCTCACGGAGCCAGTCCCGCACTGTCTCTCTGTCCCCTTCCTCTCCAATCCACCAGCCAAACGAAGGGTCATGAGGCCTGGTTCTTAACACATTGCTCTTGTGCTCAAAAACCTCCCGAGGCTGGGTGTCGCCTGCAGGCCCGGCCCTGCCTCCCCCATCTGGCAGCCGGGCGCCCAGAACCTGGCCCTGCAGGCCTGCCCAGAGCAACACCCCCTCCCACCTTCTCACACCCTTTGTGCCTCACCGCTTGCCACCGTCACCAGCCCAGCGTCTGCGCCCTTCAGCAGCCACCTCGTCCCCAAAACCTCCCTGTCCCGGACTCAGGAGGTCCCAAGCTCTCCAGCTCTTCCACCTCCCTCTTGGCCTCACAGTGCGCTGAGTGCGGGGGCTCTTCTGACCATGGCCTCCACTCATTCCGGCCTCGGCCATCCTAGCGCTCCCCCTTCTCCCCAGCAAGACTTCAGGTACCGTGTATACTCCGAAGGCCCCCAAACCTCTCCGTCAGGAACGTTCCTCAGAGCTCGAGACCTGCAAAGCCGTGCCAACAGAGACATCTGCCGGATGTCCCTCCACCACCCGAAACGCGACATGTCCCCACATGAACTCTGCGTCATCACTGCACACCTGCACCCGGGCTGACCTGGGGAGACCCGGGCTGTTTCTCACCTCCAGGCTCTTGCTCAAGCCATCCCTTCTCCTTGGAGGGCCCTTCACCCCCTTGTCCATCTGGAAAATGTTCACCCTCCAATGTCATTGCCATTTAAAAAACTGCTAGAGCAGCGTCACTAAATCAGTGGGGCCTCCCCTGACCGCTTCCACCCCAGCTCTTCCCTGCGTACAGGCAGACCTTGCGTTCTCGCCCTCGGCTTTACGGTGCCTGCAGACATGGTGTTTTCACACGCTGAAGGTCTGCGGCAGCTCCGCGTCACAAGTCTCTCAGGAAATGCCGTTCCTCCAACGGCATTTGCTCGCTTTGTGTCTCTGGGCCACGTTCGGGCAATCCTGATGATATTTCAAACTTTTCCATTATTATATCTGTGACGGTGATCTGGACCGGTGACCTCTGATGTTACTGCTGTGACCGTGTGCGGGCCCCACACACGAAGGCGACTGTCGGGTGTGGTCTGACTGCTCCACCTCCCTGCAGCCCGCCCTCTCTCTCCCTGTCCACAGCAAACTTCACTGTTGTCGTATTTTAAGAAACTGTCACAGCCACCCCAACCTTCAGCAGCCACCATCCTGATCAGTCAACAGCCAGCGACTTCACGGCAAAGACCCTCCACCAGCAAATAGATGAGGACTTCCCGAAAGCTCAGATAATAGCAAGTTTTTAGCAAAAAAAAAGTATTTCAATATTAAGGTATATGCGGGCTTTAGACTGTAGATCTCACACTACAGCATCGTGTAAATATAACTTCTAGATGCATCAGGAAGCCAAAAACTTCACGTGGCTTGCTGTGCTGTGAAATTTGCTTTATCGGGACCGTCTGGGACCAAACCCGCACTGTCTCCACAGTGGGCCCTGACTGCCCAACTCCTGTCTGTGGGAGAGAATTCCCCCTGTAATCCCTTGGGTTTAATAACACTAGCATTTTCCCCAAAGCAGGAGGCAGATGTCTTCTTCAACCGTCTCCCCATCACCCCCAATTTATCCCTGAGTCCCATCCCCTCCAACCACTCAGAGCCTCTGGAATTCTTTCCTCCTCCCCACCTCCTGTGCTTGGCTCTGCCTAAGCCATCCCCACACCCTTGCCAGCCCTGCAAAGCCTCCTGACTTGTGTCCCAGCTCCTAGCCCTGACAGTCGCCTTTAAGCCCATCCTTCCCAGAGCTGACTGCATTGTTCCCTGACTTAAAATCTTCCCTCAAATATGAGATAAAGTCCAAATTCCCTTTGCTTAACATACGAAGCTCCTCATTGTTTGAAACAGAGATGCAAGACTACTTTCCTGTGTGACCCTGAGTAAGTTACTTAACCTCTCGGGCTGGATTCCTCACCCCATGAAACAAGGAAAGAGGACTAGCTCCCTCAAGGGCAGGTAGCCCTACAATATGATGACAGGGAGGGGAGGATCTTCAACACCAAATGGCTCCCTTCAGTGCCTCGGTGTTCTCTAACACACCTAAGAATGGCCTGGGCTTCTGGATATGATAATGTTGTAATAAGACACCAAACACTAAACTCCTTTAGAGTGTACCATTTATATTAAATAGAAGCAAAGGAGAAAGTTAGTGGACCAGGTGTGAGGGAGGAGGGATCAGACCCAACGCTGAAAAGTGCCTCCCATGATTTAATCCCAACTTTCTGCCTCACTCTCCACAGGAATAAACCACCTACGTCTGTGGCAGTAAATGAAATACCATGGGTCCTACCCCCTTACACTAAATGCAGGCATCTCCTCTGACATCTCTGAGTGACGGGACGTGGGTGGCCGACCCTTTGGCGTAAGGCTAAGGTCACTAAGCGATTCCGTACCTCTCTCAAGTAGTGCGTCATGAACCCATCAATGACTCCGTCCTGTTCCAGGCCTATGATGAGGCTCACCACGCTGGTGAATCCAAACACCGCATACACTAGAGCAAAGGAAGAAGCTGTTATTTATGTCTTTATCTCTCTGCCAAGTAAGCTCTACACCCACTGTGGGGCTTGAACCCAGAATCCCCGAGATCAAGAGTCAACACGCTACATGCCTGAGCCAGCCAGGTGCCCGGATTTAAAAAGCAGCAGCTCGGGAGGCAATGACGTAGAGCTTGGCATTCACCGAAAACAGTGACTTGGGCTTCATCTTTTCCAGAAGACGCTGTGGGCACCGTCAAGATGGACTAGCAGAAGGACCCTCGTCCTTGTCATGGATCTCCGCGTCATTGCCGGAGTGCTCTTTGAGGGGACACGCCCCGCGGGGACAGAATCACACACTCGCCCGCTAACTCTGTGCCACAGGAGCCTACCCAGCCACCCCGTCCATCCTCCACAACCTCCCAGTGGCTGCCATGGGCCACACCCGCATCTCCCCTGCAGCCAGCTCGCCCGATGCTCGCCTGTTCCACACTTAAGAGCCCGAAGACGGACAGTGACCGACGGGCAAGTTGGAAGAAGAAAGGCCGGTGATTTTTAAAATGGGGACAAGATGGCACATTGAATGTGAAACAAGCCCAGCTACAGCGTCTCAAGAGACTCTCACTCAGGTTGTGAGAATCTCCCAAACGGCCCACGAGCTCCCAGCAGCAGCCAGCTATGGAACGAGGCCTTTACACGGCAAGGGGTCAAACTTAGCGCGTGTTAGTTTATCAGCAAGGCTGCGTTTTCAAGCTGCATCCCATCACAGGCCATGTGGCGGGCACGGGCAGGACAAGAATTCGAAGGTGGACAGAAGAACAGCCATGATAGAATCAACGGGAGGTTGCTTCCCAGAGAAGGGGAGCCGGCCTCGCCGAGTCCGCAGCCGGGCCCGCGGCGTTCACGTCCTCTCCAGGCTGCAAGGACCACGCGGGCGCCCTGCCCTGCAGACCCGGCCTCCCCGTGCCCTCCCAGGCCTGTGCTCCAGATCTTGCTGTCAGGATCAGCCACCAAATGTCCCCCCAAAAGAAAGCACTCGCATCAGATCACTGAGGCTGACGGGGGCGTCCTGTGCTGGGTCTGAGGCAACCAGCCTGGCCCCAAGGATGTAGCATGCTCGGGCTAGGACACAGACGAGACCAGACGGCTGCGGGTGTCGAAACCGTGCTCAGTCCTGGGGGGCTGGGAGAGACCCAAGTCAGCTAAGCATGAACTCCACGGAATGGGTGGAAAGACAGCAGCAGGAGAGCACTCTTGAAAGCTGGGCTGGGGTCAGAGCGCAGGCAGGTGGTGGGCGGCAGGAGAAACGATGTGGGCCTTGAACTCAGGGCCAGCTTCTCTACCCCCTGGTTGTCCAACCTCAGACAAGTCGCATCATTTACCAAAGCCTCGGGATCTTTTACACGCAAGGTGGGAGAAATTAGTTACTTACAATTCTTTCCCTCCCCACCTTTGCCAAGACCCACAGTGGGCAGAGAATATTCCCCATATGCCACTGATGATGGATGCAGCCACACAACGTGGTTTGGCCAGTGGAATGTGCGTGAAAGTGACAATGACCACGTCCCCGTCTCCTCTGCCATGAGAAAGGCCCACCGTGGGGATCTGCTGGTCCAAGAACAAGGAGACGTGGGGCAGCTCTGGACGTGGCCCACAGCCTGACGCACAGCAGTCCCAGCCGATGGGCAGACCCATGAGCATGGACACTAAATGTTTACACCCAGGACTGGAAACACCTGGAGAGTCTGTCGATGGACAAGTGGATAAAGAAGATACATGTAAACACAATGGAGTATTACTGAGCCGTAAGAAAGGAGGAGGGAAGTCCTGCCGTTTCCAACAACCCGGTGGACTTGGAGGGCGTTACGCTAAGTGAGACGAGCCAGCAGAGAAGGACCGAGGCTGTATGGTCTCCCTCACGGACGTGGAACCCGAGCAAGCTGAGCTCACGGGAACAGAGGCTGGAACGGTGGCTGAGCGGCTGGCGAGGGGGGGACATGGGGCATGTCACTGACAGTGACAAGATGAGTAAGTGGTCAGTGCGGCAACGGTGGTTAACGAGGCCTCACTGTACACTCAGTGTTCTCACCACAGGCCATGAAAGTAATGATGGGACGTGAGGGACCCTACGGTGAACGACCTTGTCGGGGTCACGGTCTCACGGTGTGGCCCTGTGTCACACCATCCCAGGGTAGCCCTTACACCCGCCCAGTGTCGGATGTCAAGTGTGTCTCAGCAAAGCGGCGGAAACATGAGGAACGTCTGTTGCAGGACACCGAGGTCTGGGGGGCTCTGACCCGCAGCATCACTGACGCAGACACGGAACCAGGGAAGGCCCAGCCCAGCTCCCAGCAGGGGAAGCGCTCGAAGGCGGGGACGGCTTTGGCGGAAGCAGCGTGGGGCAAAGAGGAGCCTGGCTTCTGGGGTCAGTGATGTTCTCACTGCATGACCTTGACCACCTGTCTCAGTGGCCCCGAGCCGCAGCTTCTTCGTCTGTAAGTGGAGAGGACTTGTCTCGAGGATTAAATAAGCTAATACGGGGCCCGCGCTCAGGGCCACACCAGGCATGTAGTAAGTGCTGGATCGGGGTGTTTTTATTTATGTGATGTACGTGGGTATTCTTCAGGCACTGCTTAAATATTCGACTAATATCACTGAATGCAGCAACCCCCACAGGGAGCATTATTATTTCCTCATCATGCAAACGTGCGGACCAGAACACTGTGCAGCTCAGCTCCATGCCAGGGGGAGGGAGTGGCCAGAAGCGAGGCAAAGGCAGGAAGCCCGGGAAGGAGCTACTGCAAGAGTCGAGGGCAGAGGTCAGAGCACGGCTGGGGGTGGGGGCAAGGAACAGAGGCGCCTCCTGCCTGGCCCTGGCATCGACCTTCTGCCACGATCCCCGCTGGGGAAGGGTGGGGTCCACGGCCCAGAGGAGGTGTTCGTCTAGAGGGGAGGACTGTTGCCCTGAAACACTCCTGCTTCTGCCACTTCCCCAGTGGGGCTCAGGGTACTGGAGGCAGGCGACTGCTTCACTGGGGACGTGAGGAAGGCGAAGGCCGAGCACTGCGCTGTGAGGGGGACACCAACCGCCTCCCTCCCGCGGAGACGTACCATAGAACAGTGGGTCCCGGGGTGGTTTTCTTTTGACCAGGACACGTGCCAGCAGGGCCACCAGGAGCAAGATGAGGGCAGCAACCCCCACGGTTGTCCAGGAACTGCAACAACCAGAACAGGGAGGCAGTCACTTATCGAAATAAACATGTGGATACGTGGAATTTCCTGGCTGTGAATGCTCTCGCCCCCACGTCTGCCTCTGCCTCCAGCTCCAGTGACGCAGGCTGAGCTGGGTGGGCCTGCAGCCCTCTGGCCCCTGCGGGTCACCCGTGCGACTTTCAGGGACTGGAAGCACCAGCTCCCCACTCGTCCTAACCTGCGCACCTGCACCCTGCACGCCATCCCACGCCCCCTGAAGACGGTCCCTGCCCCACCCCCCCCAGCTCACCCCGGCACCTCCAAATCCTGTTCCCCGGTGACTGACAGGCCTAACCGCTGAATCTGTCGCCTCTCTCAGGGCCGGAAACCCTTGGACTGCGCTCCAGGGAGCACAGAGGAGTCTCAGCTACACACACCTTCCAGAAAGACCAGGAGGAAGGGCCCCAGGCCACGTGTATAATCAAAGGGACCAAAGAATAAGGCCAATCCAAGGAGGAAGGAGTTTGGGCCAGAGCTGCGGCCCAAAGGAAGGAAGCCAGCTCCCCACACCAGGGCCATCAAGCCAGAGTCCAACCCCACACCCAGAAGGTAAGGGGAGGCTGGGGTGGGCACAAAAGACATGGTACCAAGGAGACCAGGGTCCAAGGCCCCTTCCCCGTGGGGCAGCCCTAGGGCGTGAGGCTTGGTTGAGTTAGCAGTCGAGACACCTGGAGTCTAGGACCCCCTTTGCCACTGCCCGACTGAGCGACTTGAGAAAGCCATGTCATTTCATCATCTGCTTATAACTCACTTTAAAACACATTAAGGGTAAAATGTATTGTGTACCCTGCGGGCCAGGCACTGTGGATGAATGGAGGTCATCCATCCCTGTCTCATGGAGGGTCCAGTCTCAGTGGACTCTGAGCGCTCTCACCCAGGAGGTCACCTCCAGTCCTGCAGAGCTGCGCTCTCTCTCACACCCCGGCACCCAGCAGGGCTGGCAGGGCTAGACACAGGATCACGTGGCCCTCTCCAATGGTCCACTATACCACAGCCTCCTCCGCTGAAACCCCATCCACACCATCACAGCCCAAGAGCATCTTCTGGATCACCTTTGCTATATGCCCCTGGGGCTTCTGGAAAGTACCTTCCTCAGTCACAGCTTCCACCAGGACCCAACAATACCTACCAACAGCTGAGGGGCAAACTCATGCTGAAGCTCGCTCCACCCGCCCTCCCTGCAGCTGGAATGGGTGTTAGAAACCTGCCCCCAGCGTAAGAAAGCTCAGTGAAGAAGTGGGAAGCAAGCCACCCAGGCTGTAGGTAAATGGGCCCCCAGGAGACTGGTTGCAGGTGCAGGAGAGCTGTATCCCCAGCCCCTGCCCCCAGGCCCACACAGAGTCAGGGAATGGGCTCTGGGCCTCAGGAACACCCAGATTTCCAAATGCCGTCTTCCACCTACAGAATCAGAATCCGTTGGGCTGGGGCAAGGGAATATGCAGCTTTTTTTCAAGATTCCTGGATGAGTATGACAAAGAAAGTCCGCCTGAGAACTCCTGTCAGGGTATTTGGGAATTCATGAATGGATGAAGGAGGGAAGGAGGGGGAGAAGAAGCCAAGAAGGAGAAATGGATGGATGGTGGATGGTGGATAATGAATGAATGGACAGATGGGGGATGGCAAATGGTGAATGAATGGATGGATGGATGGACGGATGGATGGTAGATGGACGGATGGATGGATGGTGGATGGATAGATGGATAATAGATGGACGGGTGGATGGATGGTGGATGGATAGATGGATAATAGTGGACAGATGATGAATGGTGGATAGTGAATGGACAGATGGATGGACGATGGATGGATATATGGTGGTTTCATGGATGGATGGATAATGGATGGCAAATGAATGGATGAATGAATGATGGATGATGGGATGGATGGATGACAGATGACGGAAGGATGACACACTTCTATGATAAGAATGAGGATGACTGTGTCAATGTCCAGGTAGGATGCTGAAGTAGGAAATTTCTAGTGGTGCACATCCGTGGCTCTTCCTGTAGAGATAAGCCAAAAGAGCAAAGGATGGAGGAGGAAGCTGATGTGGGTCAGGAACATGATGCTGGACCGAAGCATCCTGTGAGAAGCGAAGAGGTCCGGTGTGCTATGTAAGCTGACAAGCACTTTAATCACCGCCCAAGGCAGGTGGTGGCCAGGAAATGGCCCCCATCCCTGCTCCTACAAGGACCTATGCACCGTCGCACAGCGGACGCCCTCGGGGGAGTGTGAGGGTCGTGTAAACTGCGCTCTCACAATTGCCACCTGGCAGAGGAGCAAGGAGCGAAGAGAAACTGGGGCCACAGATTCCGTGCATATCCCAGGGACCACCAAGTGCAAGACCAGCTCAGAACCGAGAGAGAAGGATCTGGCAGGACTTGGTGGGGGCGGGGGGCTGCTGAGACACAACAAAGGGTAAAAACTTTGCTAGTCTTGGACTGGGGGCGAGGGGGTTACTGATGCCCTTCCATGAAGGGGACGTGTATGGGTGAGCATGAGAAGAGAGATAAAGTGTGTGTGTGTGTGTGTGTGTGTGTGTGTGTTAGAGAGAGACGATGAGACTAACGGATCCTAACTCTTTCCTGACTCCGTAACCTGCCTTGCTTTTTCTGGTTTTCAGGCTTTCGTAAACTGCCTGGTGGGAAGGAAGCTTCAACTAATCGAGCTGATTTCAACCTGACCGCATGCCTGCTACGCACAAGGCCCCGGGCTGGGCCACACGACGCCACGGTGAGCTGTGGCCTGGGAAGGTGAGTTCTGACCACAGCGAGGGAATTCTCGTGGGAGAAGCGCAATCCCAGGGGGCCAGGTAGACGGAGAGATCCTGCGTGCTTGGAGGGAGGGTCTGGAAAACGTGGAGGTGGCGTGGTACCTGAGGCTATCAAATCAGGGATGGCTTCCACAGTCAGGTCAGAGAGGAAGTCCTCCCAGTCAGAGGCGAGAGCATGAACCAGGGCAAGGAGGCAAGGGCTGGGGCAGAGAAGTTCCTGGGGGAGGCTTGGCAGGGCCTGGGGTGGGGAACCGCAGGGAGGAAACAGATGTTAGCCCAGGCCTGGGGCCAGTGTGGAAGGGGACAGTGGGAGGGGGGAGTGGAGGAAGAGGACAGAGGAGCCAGAGGTCACTGGGATTTTACCTGCAGGGTGATGGGAAGAATGACTGGAACCAATTATTCAAAACTCTGCAGGGCTTAGCGATGTGCTCAATACTACAAGGCAATACGTAATTCAGTGTGTGCTTAGTAAATGCCATCACCATCCTGCCAGGGGCTGAGGCCAAAATCTCAGAGTCATCCCCAAACCCTCTCCAGGACATGCAGACCTTCAGTAAGCCGCACTGCTCTCCCTCCCAGATACCCTGCACCCAGCCACCGCACCCCTCTCCTCCTTCTGCTCCCTGTTCCCCTATCTGGAAGGCTCTGTCCCCACCTCTTCCCATGCCCACCTCCTGCACTTCAAGCCACCTCCTCCAAGAAGCCTCCCCTGACCACCAGTCACCTTCCCAGTCACTCATGTCACCCCATTTTTTGATGTCTGTTTCAACACTCGCTTCCCTAACCTTTCCTAGCTTGTCCATAGCTATATCCCCAACACCTGGAACAGCGTCAAGCACAGAATATGTCCTCAATAAATATTTGTTGCACTGCGCACAATGCCACTGTGGACACTGTATTCACAGACACGTGACATCTGCTGCCCGGAGCTGCAGCTGCCAGGAGATGTACCCCGAGACGGGGTCAGACCAAGGGCAGTCACGGCCAATGTCCAGGCAGTGCTCCGTATGGATGGGGGCCATCTGGATAAGGCTGTCAGCAAGTGGTAGCCCCAGCAGAGAGAGAGAAGGGGGAAGGAAGTCACCGCCTTGGAGGCAGACCCTTATCCCCAGCTCAAAGACTGGAGGGGGTTTGCCACACGCAGACTGATGCAATTTCCTCAGCACCAACTGCTGGGGGAACCTAACAGGTTAACTTCTTCGCCCCCACGGACAGCAGGGAACACCAGCAGGCACGGAGGCCTGGCACCTCTCCCACCATCCGGGCAGGCCCGCAGCTGCCTGGTGCAGGGTGTAATAGCCTGGGATCCCTCACACCAGACTGAGGCGGGGCTTTGAACCAACCCATCTGTGGCCTGTCAGCCCCACCCATTTCCTTGGCCATGAGCTGCTCGGCCTCCCTTCCCCGTGCCGTCTTACCGGCGCCTCTACACAAAACGGTCTCTCTGGATCCTGACAATAGGATACAAATATAGGCCATTTCATAGACCAGAAAACTGAGGCCACGCCACACGGGTCGTGCCAAAGGCACGACTAGAACCCGGGTCTTTGCTTGTCGGCCCGGGGCTATTTCTGCTAGTCATTCACAACAGTTTCTAAAATTAATAGGAAACGAGAAGTCTGTGCGTGTCCATACATGGAAACGTCCCTGTGAAATGCGAAACGAACCCGGCACAACCCGAGGGAACACAGCCACGCTCGCAGCTGGCGGCGTCTGCGCCCCCACACCCCGGCCCCTGGGCTCAAGGGCAGGGGCATTGCCTCATTGACCTCCGTCACCCCGGGCACCCGGGCCGGCGCGCGCGCGCCCCGCACTGGGCTCCAGAACCTCACCGAACGGCCGGGACGCCCGCCCGAGCCCAGCCCCCCGCCCTCCTCCGGCCCGCGCGCCCCCGGCGCGCCTCCCCTCCCCCGGCCCGGAGCGGGGAGCCCCCACAGGCCGCCGGCCCAAGCCCTGCGGTTGGCGGCTCGAGCCCCATCGGAAAAGTTGCCCGGAGCTCGCGCGGCGCCGAGGCCACTTGGCCGCCCACCCCCGGCCCCGGCGCCGCCCCCCGCCGCGCGCGCCCACTCACTCGTGCTGGGCCGCCAGGTGGTTGAAGACATAGGTGACCGGGATGGCCGAGAGGGACAGCACGAAGACCCCGGTGGCCGCAGAGGCACTCATCGCCGCCGCCGCGCCGCTCGCCCTTCAGCGCATCCCGCGCGGCGCCCCGCCCCAGCTTCCGGCAGCGCCCGCGCCCCTCGGCCGTGCCCTTCGGGGCGTCCCGCGCCGCGCCCTCAGCAGCGCCCCCTCGGCGCGCCTGCCCGCAGCCGCCCGGGAGCGCAGCGCCGCGGTGCGGTCCCGGGGGGCGCCCTGGCCGCGCCCCGGCCCGGGAGCGGCGACAGCCCGCGGCGCGGGACAGGTGTCCCGGGGGCGCGCGCTCTGCGGGAAGGCGGCGGCGGCTTGGGAGGCGGGCACGGCTGGTCGCGGATCCTCGACGACCTGGAGAGGCTCTGGGCAGCGCTGCGGGCGGCGGGGGTGGGGCGGGGGGTGGAGTCGGACCCGCCGGCGTCGGAGCGGGAAGGGCCCCGCGAGATCATCCACGTGGGGAGCCCTAGGCCGGGAGGTCGGGAGGGACGATGATGCCGAGACCGTGGATCGACAGCGGGCAGCGGGCACAGCTCGGTGCAGAGAACCGGGTCAAACCCGGGCTGCTCGCTCGCCTGCCGCTGACCTTGGTCAAGTGACTTAGCTCTCCGGTCTTTTCCCTTCTCTGCCCGATGGGAATGGCGCGCGCAGCGCAGGAGGCGATGAACTGAGCCGCTGTGTCTGGACTGACCCCGCCCCCGCCGCTCGGAACACCGGGGTCTCCTGCAATTCTCGTTTCTGGGGGTTGAAACTCACCCTGGGAGAAACCCTATGATTTGAGAGACAGCGTTCCGGAGGCCGGGTTTCTGCGGGACCCGAGGCGCGGGGCCCTGCGCGGGGAACGAGCACAGGGAGGCCAGGGCTGAGGGCTCAGACTGCCAGACGGGCACCAAGTATGCCCGAGGCTGCTTGACCGTGCTGGGGCGAGGTCTCAGAACCCCCGGGACTCGGCCTGGCATGGTGTGCTGTCCCGGGAAAGCGAAGGACAACGAGTGCCAGACAGACAGCAGCCCGGGCGACCCGGAGAGGAGAGCGGCACTCAGTACTAAGCCTGCAGCGGCCCAAGGCCTGAAGGCATCATTCGGCTCCTTTTAGAGAGGACGGAGGTGAGCCACAGGGAGGCCGAGACCTAGCCCTCTGGGGCTACTGCACTTTCCCAAGCCAGCTCTCCTGATCCCCTACCCGGGTGCTCCCGGGAGGCTTGGGTCTAACTCTGAGGAGGTAATGATAAAACCTTGGCCCAAATCGTGACACAGCCGAAGTTTTCCCAAGGGACATCCTTACCTCTGACCTGGATGTCACCCTCCTTCACAACTACTCGGGGTGTTTGTCACTGTCCTTAAACTCTCTCTTCCTCCAGACAACAAAACCCCCTTCTGAGCCCCCCACTCTCCTCCCAGCCCATCCCTGAGGCCAGCCCAGCCCCTCCCTCACCGCCCAAACCCTGCTGCATGAGTTTTGCCTTCTCTCTTATACCTTAAACCCCTCTGGCTGCCCTGGTTCCCTCCCCTCAACCTAGGCACACGCATGACTATGTCCCAGTGTAGACATGGCTCCCTGGGTCAGCGGCTCCTCTCTGTTCGCCACCTTCTCTCCTTTCTCACGCTCGCTCCAATTTAATGCCGGAGCTCTGCTGAGAGATCCCAAATTACGGTCCTCCTGCTGGCGTCTCCCCTCAGTGCTGCCGCATGGGCGTCCCACAGACTCATCACAGTCAACATGGCCAAAATGGATTTCCTCATCGTCCACAAGACCGGGTTCCTCTCATCTGGTGGCACCACCCCTCACCCAGCGGGCCAAGCCAGACACCTGGGAATGCACCTCAGTTCTGGCCGATCTCCCTTCCTCTGGTTCCGGCAGCACCGCCGGCGCTCCCTTCCAAATGCTTCTCAAGTCTGTGCCCCCACCGTTTGTCGGGGTCTGTCTCCCGTGTCCTACCCCTTCCCTCGTCTCTCCGGCTCTGATCCTGCCAATTCTAGAAGACCTCACCTGACCCCCATCCTGGGCCTCCCTCCCCCTGCATCAAGCTTTGCTTTCTTCAGAGCGCTTCCACTCTTCCAGATTAACTTGCTTACGTGTCTGCTTTCTGTTCTGTGTCTCTCTCTCCATTATGACGTAAGCTCGGCGAGGTCAGGAACGCACCCGTCGTGTTTATAGTTCTATTCCTATCCTTTCTATTAGCAGAAGAGGTGCTCAAGAAATCATTGTTCAGTGAATGAATGCTCAAGTCATCATTGTGCATTGGAAATATGTGAGCCGCATGTGTAATCATAATTTTATTTTTTTTTAGGTAAACTCTATATTCAACATAAGGCTTGAACTGAAGACCCCGAGGTCAAGAGTCACATGCTCCACCAACCGAGCCAGCCAGGTGCCCCTGTAATCTTAAATTTTCTAGCAGCCACATTACAAAAGAAGAAGAACACAGGTGAAATTATTTTTCATGATATAGTCTATTGAAGCCATATGTCCAAAAGATTATTGTTTCAACAAGTCATCAGTGTCAAGGATATTGAGATATTTTACACTAAGTCTTTCAAATTTCATGTATTTTACACGTAACAGTATATTCTGTTTCAGACTAGTCACATTTCAAGCACTCAACAGCCACATGTGACAAGTAGCATCTATATCGGAATCATGGTTCTAGAACTTTCTCCCCCTCTCGTACTGTCCTGGCTTCAGCTGTGCTCTCTGCTGGCTACTGTCAAGAATGGGTGTGATATTAAATCACTTATAAGCTTATTCAAGTGTCCTCAGAGAGTCTACCATGTTTCTAGCATTGTTCTAAGACATGGTCATGCAAAGATGAATTATAAACACATCTTCCCAAGAAGGCCACAATCTGGTGCGAGAAAGAGATATGTAAACAATTACCATAAAAGGCGTCAAAGATGTATGTACAGCTTGTTAGAGGAGCCACCGGTTCTGTTTGGAGGAGTCAAGAAAAGCTACGAGGAGGAGGTGAGGCTTGCGCCCAGACTTGAAGAGCAAGTAGAAGCTGGCCAAGCAGACCAAGAACGGGTGGGGCTTCCCAGGCAGTGGAGACAGCACACACGTGATGGCAGAAATGGGTGGGCACATGCCACTTGGTGTACTTCAAGTCACTTGCTTTGCTTGAAAATACCAGGATGTCATGCACAAAGGGGCTGGCAGGAGGTAAAGGTGGACAGGTGACCCGGGACTCGATCTCGGAAGACCTCAAGTGCAGGGAACATGTAAGGTTCATGAGTGTGAGAGAGTACCATCTTCAAAGCCCCGCCTGGCAGCTGGTGGGGACCATGGTTTAGAAAGAGGAGAGACAGGAGGCAGGAAGGCCAACTAGGAAGCTGGGACAATGGTCCAGCGAGAGATCATGAGGACCCGAACCAAGGAAGTTCGAGGAAGAAAAGGGTCTGGAGAGGGATCATAAGGGGAGAAAGTTGGGAGGTGGGGGCTTAGCACAGGTTTGGTTTCAGACACGTGGGGCTGCCAGTGCCCATGGGTTCCCAGGAGGAATGGTCTTATTGGCAACTGGGGATACAGCCTGTGGCACCAAGAGAGGTACAAACATGTAGATCTGGGGGGTCAGGAGCCTGGAGATGTTGCTGAATAGCAAGGAGATGATTTCCCTGTCCCAGGAAGAGGGTAGAGACAAAGAGAATAGTAACAGACACGGCCAGAGAGCGGGTGGTAGCCCTGCCCCCAGCAGAGCAGCCCAAGGGCATCTGAACGCAGTGGCATAGGCGTTCAGCACCCCAACCTCAGGAGCTGTTCCCTCAGAGTCCGCAAGAGACCCGGGGGCCACCTCAAAGCTCAGGTGCTGTGATATACATGTTGGAGATTATGATTTTCTTGATAATAGTTTCTCTTAATGCTGAAAGTTTGAGTAGCCAGAACTCTTGTAGTCGAGGAGCCTGTGTGCTAGAAACCCTCCCCGGCAACCTGCGCAAACCCAGTGAAGATAATCTCATTCCACAACACTACTGTACTGTGGAGACTCCAAAGTGTAGTTAACCTTTGAATAATGCAGGGGGGTTAGGGACCCCCTCCACCCGCTCAGTCAAAAATCTGCATATACCTTTTGACTCCCCAGAAACTGTTGACCAGAAGCCTTACCAATAACATAAATGGTTGATTCATGCATATTTTGTATGTTATCTGTATTCTACACTATTTTCTTATGATCAAGTAAACCAGGGAAAAGAAAACGTTAAGAAAATCATAAAGAAGAAAAAATACATTTACAGAACTGAACTGTATTTACAAAAAAAGAAATCCACGTATAAGTGGGTCCATGCAGTCCAAACCCATGTTGTTCCAGGGTCAAGGGTATTTCCACTAATATTATCTCTTTTAAGCTTCACAGCAGCTCTCTGAAGAAGAGAGAGAGCCCTTTATGATGGAGAAAGTGAAGCTCAAAGAGGCGACGTGACTTGCCCAAGGTCAAAAGGCTAAGAGAGAGGGTGAACTTGAATTCAGTCACTATATCCGTGAATCTATGCCCAGTGACTGAATCTAAGCCCTTAGACCCACGTTGCCACAGCTCACTGAGCACCACGTTGGACACCTTAGAAATGGTGGATGGACGCGCTACAGGCTTAGCCAGCTGCCTCCTTGCTCAGGAAGCTGAGGTCCGGAGCTCTATTCCATGCCAATCAGTAGGAATTAAATTCCCATCTTGAAAAAGGGCTGGATATGACTTAAATGGTATTCAGACAACAGAGTAGTTTGGTTTTTTATTTTGTTGTGAGTTTGTGTGTATGTATGTTTTTTAGGAGCATCCATCTTGCAAGCCATGGAGACTAATATTGTAGCTGTGAAACTTGACTCCAAGCTTCCTGCAAGCAAGCAAAAATAGACCCGTGGAGGTACGCACCGTTCTGTGGTAAGAAAGACACAGATTTTTGTCACATTGATTCAAAATAATTGACAGATCAGGAATTCAACTGAAGCAGCCCTCACCATGCCTGTTTCTGCCTCAGAGGGGAAGTGAAAGCAGAACATGAGGGAACTTGGTCATCAGGAGCTAAGAAAGAACGTCGGGAGGGTAAGACAGAATAACTCCTCTGAAGGAGTAAAGTGGAAGTCAGCCCACACGTCCGCTGGCCCCCAGCCCCAGAGCCCTTGTTCTGCATGTTTTGGTTTCGCCCTTTTTTAATCCTCCTTTAAACGTTGTGTTCATGTTTTTATGAAAGTCTGCACGCTCTAGATGAATGTGCAAGGGATCATCAAACAAATTGGTTTGTGGGGTATATAGGGACGGGACAAGTAACCTGAGAGTGACCAAGGTAAGGCTGCTTGCC